ATGAATTATAACATTGATAGTGTTAGAAAATATGTCGGAATAATATTAGACTACTGTTGAAAACCTGGAAGCACTGGACGACTGTTTCGCTCTAATACGAGACTCTTCAACAGTGCGAATCCACGATCCTGCCTTGGAAGATTCAAACGCAGGACCTATCGGTCTTGCGAGCGAGCGCTTAACCTATAGACTACTGAGCATGCCAGCATCCAACGATGTTATTGTCTAACTTAAACCATTCCACGGAATCAAGCGACCATTCATGCACACCGCTAAGGAGTCCCAAAATAGAACGAAACGGCAGTCAAGTGCTTCCAGTTTTTTCATGGTGGTCTAGCTTCAATTGACTCATAATTTCAACTACATAAAATTACTAAAATCTCCACAGAATTCATCTCCTCATAGTATCCAATTATTATGTTTTTAAAAAGTTCCACAAAATTTATTAAACTCAATTGATTGTTTTCAGTATCTCATTGTATACCTTAAATTGTTTGAATTTTACTATTCAGTTTTTAACTTAATCATGCGTAAAATTATTGAAATAGATCGGCACATGTAGAAATATAAATAAACACAAAATGTTATAAATTCGTGATATATTTTTATAATAATTCTGCTTCATCGAAAATTGGAATATGATATAAATAATTATAAGTAAATTCATATATTTGTAATATCCCAATAAGTAGCAAAATTAGATTTTCTGACGTTTCGTGACACAGTGCAAGGCACTTCTTCAGAGAATAAATAACCAAATAAATAATTGTAAGCGAAGATGGATAGTGGCTAGCAGTGGAATCTAGGAACCGCGTTTCGTTCTATTCGGGACTCGTCAGCTGGATGTACCTGCATCTCAGAGTACTGGGTTCGAGTCTCAGAGTGGACACCAACTCTGAGATGCAGGTACATCCAGCTGACGAGTCCTAAATAGAACGAAACGCGGTTCCTAGATTCCACTGTTAGCCACTATCCATCTTTTCTTACTATGCTTGTGAATTTAGGTCATATCGAGGCAATATGCACAGTATGCACATATGCCAATTAGAGACTGACCAGTTGCAGTCCCAAACATGAATGAGAATAATGAATTATTTCATTTAATTATGTTAACAAAATATGTAATTCTGTTTTGTTTTTCATTGTCAATCGATATATAATTTTCTCAGCTTTTTTAGAAAAAATAACTTTATATAAGAACTTTCGTCTAAATTAGAGCGAATGATTTCATAGTATTTCGGCGCCGAGTTGATGTAAGACATTAAATAGGAATAATATATTTGTAAAATCTCAGCCAATGAATTTGAAGTAAATTCAGTGTTGCGTCTAACAATCTGGTTCAAGCTTTTTCAAAGAAATGTATATAACTTCGACCAGATTGTCAGCCGAAACGTTGGATTTACGTCAAATTAATTCGCTGAGATTTTACAAATATATTATGCCTATTTAAAATAACTTTATATTCACTTAGTATTGATTGCTTGTATCTTCCCATTGTTATTTAAGATAATAATTGATCAATCTCTCGTTGGCATATGTGAATACTGTGTTGATTGCCTTGATATTGCCTTAAGTCATATTCAGCTGATGAATGTCAAATATGATGAAACGCGTGTCCTGGATTCCACTACTAACTACTATCCATCTTTGCTTATAAAATGACTTTATTTTATTACTTTAAAGTCATCATGTTATTAATTCGTGGTTATTTAATTTAAAGTAATAAACTCTGGTCAACAGAAAGAACTAGGCTAAAGTGTATTTTGTTACTCAATTACTTACTTACTTGCGCCTGTTACCCCTTGCGGAGGAGCATAGGTCGCTCACCAGCACTCTCAATCCAATCCTGTACTGGACAATCCTCTCCAGTTGTTTCCAATTGTTATTCGTACTTTCATTTTTGCTTCCGTTTCCCAACGTAGTGTGTTATTCAGCCTCCCACTTTTCCTTCTCCCCTCAGGATTCCAAGTTAGAGCTCGCTTCATGATGCAGTTTGATATTTTCCGTAATGTATGTCCTATCCACTTCCAACTTTTTTTCCTAATTTCCTCAGCTGCAACCTGGTTTATTCTTTCCTACAGTAGGCTGTTGCTGATGAAATACGCCCGGAAGTCTGTATCCGACCCTCCTCGTTCACCGATTATTTTGATCGGTTACGTGAAACTTTCCACATCTTCCAGAGTTCTTCCATCAACTGTGATTGTGTTGGTATTCCCTGTGTTGTGTTTGAGGATCTTGCAAAGTGTGTTTTGTAATCATTGTCAATTAGTGTCAATGAGAATAACTGACAATTTTTTATCATTGTACTAACAGAATTTCTTGAATGTGTTCTGCACATCCGTGATACCCGCTGGAACTATATTTACTACAGATGCTTGTAGTAACCTGTCTTTCTAGAAATCCTCTTCCATTAACTCTAATAACCCTTTGTCACCGGAATCATCTTCCTAAATCGTTCATACAATCAATCAAAGCTCTTAATCATAATCATCACCGAGCCTGACACAAATGTACGTCAGCTCAAGTTTCCATACCCTTTTAATACAGTATGTCAAAGAACAGACTGATGCTGATAGAAAAGACTAAACTTTAAAAAAATGGTCTGAAAGAAGGAATGAAAGGAAGATATTCGTGGAAGAGTATCGGTAATCAAGATCTAGGGAAATATCATAAGTAAATTAATCTGAGTCACTGTATCTGACTTTAAAGTCTGTCACCATACAGCTGCAAACACTGCTCGCATTTAACTCTAGGACCAAAACTAGATAGTCTGCACCTATCAACACGGCTCAGAACAACAGCCAATGATAATATGGACTGATATCTTATCTTTATTTGGACCCATTATGCTTCTTCCAACACGCTTCTAACCCATCCTCGACTGCATGTCGGGATAAAACTTGGTTGAGCATACATATCACATATAACAGCCACCTCCATCAATAAAATTTACATTTCATTAACCAATTCAAGTTTTTTGCTTCGTACTTTAGGTCTAACCTCAACTTTGGAGAATCCTTATTCCCCAATATACGAACAAAAAAACCTATCATTAAATACAGACGACACATGTCGTCTATTTTTGAAGACTATGTTCAACACCCATAGAGTAATACAGAATATACTTCCTTCCTTAATAAACATGACCCTTAGTTGACAGACGAAACTTTATTCCATGCAATAAGTAATTCATACAATCGAAAATCATCCAATCCAAATGGAATGTATATCATAGAAATTGTGGATTTGGTTGGTATTTTAGTAAAAATCTATCCATCTTATCATTACCAGGTATATCTATATATAAAGAGAGAGAGGGGACTATCACAACTGTCTAAAAATGACTAACCATGTGATTAGTCTATTTCATTAAAATTAAGTTCTTTTTATTTCGCTACATTTTAACAAACTAATTATTGAACAAACTAACCAGTTAAATAACTAAAACAATATTAATATTTAGTATTCTTTGTTTTGAATGATAAAAATATCCATTAATGACTATTGCCGTTTATAATTATCTTTTATTTTTTAATTTTTATTAAAATGGTCACCAGAAGGGGTTTTGTGGAGATTTCAGTATTTTTCATAGTTGAAATCATGAGTCAATTAAAGCTAGACCACCATCACTGAGACAGCATCTAACGGTGTTAATGTCTAAATTCAGTCAATCCACAAAGTTAAAGTGCTCTGGCGCGAGACTGGTAGGTCTCGGGTTCGAATCTCGTGACGCGGGATCGTGGATGCGCACTGCTGAGGAGTCCCATAATAGAACAGAACGGCCGTCCAGTGCTTCCAGGTTTTCGATGGTGGTCTAGCTTCAATTGACTCATGATTTCAACTATGAAAATACTGAAATCTCGACAAAACCCCTTCTGATTATAATCATATGCTCACTAGTGACTGACTTCAAGATACATGTCCTGGAGTTCTGATGAGAAGCAGTGACCAGTGGAGTTCAATCACGTCTGTTGTGAGATAGGAACTCACTGAAGACAATTGGTGATCGGTCGCTCAAAACGTTGTGGATTGGTTGAAGCTAGACACTAACACCGTTGGATGCCGGTTCAGTGGTCTATGTGTTAAGTGCTCTGGTGCGAAACTGGTAGGTCCTAGGTTCGATTCTTGGATGCGCTATGCTGAGTAGTCTCCCAATAGAACGAAACGGCTGTTCAGTGCTTCAAGGTTTTCCATGGTGGTCTAGCTTCAATTGACACATGATTTCAACTATGTAAAATGATCATAATAAGGGCAATATGTACAGATAAATTGATGATGATACGTGAAAATATGAAAATTCAGTGAAGTTAAACATTGTACTACAAGTAATAGTTTAGAATTCGATTTCTATTAAGGTCATCCATGAGCACTTATGATGAGTTGTATAGTAAACATGAAACATTAGTTTGTTCAATTAGATCAACTTTTGGAGTTGGAAGAAAAGTATTTAGTTTTCCTTCGTTAGGATTAAATTAGTTATTCTATAAGAATCTCAGTACCATAGGTGACGAATGTGACGGTATGCGACAAGATATGAAATCAATAAGAAAATAAAATTTATTCATGGACGTTTGATATTAAAAAACACGAAACATATATTCAAGATGTCCAGTAAACGATTTCTATGTCACTGTCTTTTACAAACTCAATCACCAAAATTATACCTTCACTAAATAACAGATAAGATAATATCAGTTGTTTGTCAGTATCCTGATAGATTTAAGCCTAGATAAATCACTTTGTTAAGATGTTCCCATGTATTTAACTGTGAATGTTGTACTAGAATTCTTTCATCCACGAGTTTCTCATTAACCAGGTGTTATATCTTGTGGCCGAGTGGATGGGTAGTTGATGTGTGACTTGATGAGACCGCCAATTACGGAGAGCGAATTATCGATTGGAACAGTGACACGAAACCCGTACGAGCAGCCTAGAGTGCTAACCGGTCCTGCGATCTGCCTAGCCCAGCCAATTAAGTCCAAAACACAAATAACAGCCTCAGTGGTATGAATCATTATTTACAAACATAATGGGTTTTTATACAAACCAAAGTAATCAATAACTGAGTATAACTCAAGAATCGTATGATAATAAATCAAAGATCAAAATAAAGCTCACGATAAGAGAAACACAAATATGAATCGTTTAGTTACGTAACAATTGTACAATAGGAAATACGCATAATACATTGGTCGATAAATAGTCCTTAGAGTTACCATTCATAATTCACCAGGGGATATAACACCTCCCCTTTTTGAGAAATTCGAGCTCCTCCTCCCCCACGAAATAGTGTTGGATCCTCATATACCCAAGTTTCTATTAATGCGATTCTATTTATAACATGTTTCTGGCATTCAATAGGGAACCTGCTAAGATTAACTGGATGGTGAGGATCGACATTTGATGTGAGGTCAGAATTTGATTCTGCAGAAATGTAGTCATTAGACTTATTGCAAACATCACTGGCAGGTTGTGGATCACTATGATAAACAGCGTCCACCAAAACTGCGCTAGGTTCCAGATTTGATGCATGTAACAAATTTTCTGGACAAGCTTGGGAATCTTTATCATTAGATTCGGTAAAAATTTCTATTGCAGAATGCGATTCGCTCCGTGTACTGCTCGATATTATGTCTGGTACTTTTTGGGCGGTTGACATGGCATCATGTTGATGAGAGCTCAAAGCGTCACTGTTCGGACCTGCTAATTCAGGAATAGTGGGGTTTGAATCCACTACCGGGCACGTTTCTGAAATGGGTAGTGATGGACAACCGGGCGTCTTCTGCGAGACTGCTGTTTCGTTTGAGTTGCGGCTGGTCGAGGATTCATGGAGGCTGCGATCATTTTCCAGCTTTGCGTGAAATTCTGTGATTAATCCATCCACTTCCGACGCATATGCAAAGAATTGGTGATCCAGAAGCTGTGTGCGTAGTTTGAACATGAACTCCAAATGTCGGTCAAATAGCAACTGTAATCGATCGGAAGGGAGCGTCATTTTTCACTGTATGAATAATGACAAAATGGCATTCACGGACACCAAAAAGAATGTTGGATGCTGATTGCACCAAATGATTGCCTGATTTTCGAACAATTACAAACTGACCTTTTTTTGTCCCCGTCGCCAATTGTTAATCTGTGTCCGCTTGTACATTTACTCTTCCGGCATACGTAGTATAATCCTCATCAGCTTCTCTAGTCAGTTGTAGACAATTATACCGGATACGAAATAGAGACATCTGTTCACCGAACATTTTATTTAAAATGTTAACAGTTTCATCGAAACTAATCTCTCGTGGATGTTTAGGCAGGATATGGTTTTTATACTTCTGATGCTCATTAGGACCAAGCTTCTGTAAAAGCAACCGGACTTTCTTTGCGTCCACCATAGCAGCAAATTCTACTCGAAAAATATCTTCAATTCTGCCAAACCAGGCTTCAAAAGTGTGACCGCTGTCTGCATCGAAAATAAATTCTGGAATTGGATTAAGATATGACTCTATGCTTTTAAGTTCTGAAATATCTTGTTGAATAGACATTTTTGCCAAAAGTGCTTCCATGAGTTGTTGTTGAGAAGCTAACATCTGCTGCTGCTGCTGTATTATTAACTGCAACTGTTCTTGAGAAATTGACTTTTTTTTCTCAGTGGTATGAATCATTATTTACAAACATAATGGGTTTTTATACAAACCAAAGTAATCAATAACTGATTATAACTCAAGAATCGTATGATAATAAACCAAAGATCAAAATAAAGCTAATGATAAGAGAAAACACGAATATGAATAGTTTAGTTACGTAACAATTGTACAATAGGAAATACGCATAATACATTGATCGATAAATAGACCTTAGAGTTACCATTCATAATTCACCAGGGGATGTAACACCAGGTAGCGAAGTACCAATAAGTATTGAATCTGCAATAACTGAAGGCTAATATGCGATATGATTAGAAATTATATTTTTGCACTCACAAAAGACACAAAATTCGAATAAAGCGCACAAGTAAACCAAAAGTATGAACAAACATAACAGAGCTTTCTCAGTCGTTCGTAATGAAAACAAGCAATTACAATATGATAAGAACTTCATGCCGAGCTCAAACTAAAACGATATTCACATAACATTTTTTCAGGAGAAGACGTTGACTGTATAATTAAAGAAATTTTATGAATATAAGTTTCGATTCCTATACGTATGTATCACTGAACAATAAATTTCACTCTTCATGTAAAGAAACATATACTATTGGGTCATCGTTTCATACTTTGATCAAAACTGATTAGAAAGTTATTTCGTGAACAAACGTCCATTTTCATCTTTCAATCTTCTCATAATATTTATTACAATGAGCAAAGCAAGAAAAACTATTGACTGGTTACTTTTAGCTGAGGGTATTGATACTTGAAACGGCTAGTGTATAAAAAAAAGTCATTATTTGATATTACTAGACAGCGAATATAGTACTCATATCATTTAGCTTACCTTTTTCAACTGTATATTTACAATCCATGAAATTTTACATGCAAAATATTACACTCTTAAATTACCCACTAAACTAGTCTTCACGAAGGATGCTACCCAAAAACCTTGACGCTTGTATTCAGTGGTGACTAATCCTGAAAACGATTTTCCAAAATTCAAGTTAAATAACATGATTAATAACTCCGCCTGTAGCTCTTCTAGAGTTACTGCCGGTCCCAAGCCCGGGTAAAGGAGGAGGGTTGGGCATGGGGTTATCGACCCCATCCCGTAGAAAAGCTAACTCGCTAAAAAAACGCTAACCAGAAAAAATAATTCAAACCATTTAAACTCTGCCCTGGGAGTTGAAGGAATAATGACGTCTCATGATGAAAGCCGAAATTCTTCGGAAGTCACGAGGCCGATGCACCTTCTAACAACCAGAGCAACACTCTTTATAGGTACATGGAACGTCCGGACAATGTGGGAGACAGGAAAGACCAGCCAAATAGCAATGGAAATGAGGAGATACAACTTGGCAGTACTCGGAATCAGCGAAACCCATTGGACACAAACTGGACAACAAAGGCTAGGTACAGGAGAGATGCTGCTGTACTCCGGTCACGAAGAGGAAAATGCTCCACACACTCAGGGAGTTGCTCTAATGCTGTCCAAAGAAGCACAAAATGCACTTGTAGGATGGGAATCTCATGGACCCAGGATAATCAAAGCATCATTCAGAACAAAGAAGCAAGGGATCACAATGAACGTTATCCAATGTTATGCACCCACCAATGATAGCAACGACGATGATAAAGATCAGTTCTATGAAAGGCTTTAATCAATTATAGCAAAGTGCTCACGAAAGGACCTCACCATCCTTATGGGAGATCTAAATGCTAAAGTTGGAGTGGACAACACAGGATATGAAGATATAATCGGACGACATGGACTAGGAGAAAGAAATGAAAATGGGGAGAGACTTGCAAACCTATGTGCTTTCAACAAATTGATTATAGGCGGTACAATATTCCCACACAAACGCATACACAAAGCTACATGGATTTCACCGGACCACACCACAGAGAATCAGATCGATCACATCTGTATCAACAAAAAATTCCGAAGATCAATGGAAGATGTGAGAACCCGGAGAGGAGCTGACATAGCTTCAGATCACCACCTGGTTGTGGCCAAGATGAGACTGAAGCTTAAGAAACACTGGACAACTGGACAAACAGCACTACAAAGGTTTAATACAGCCTTCCTTCGAGATACTGACAAGCTCCATGAATTCAAGATAACTCTCAACAACAGGTTCCAAGCTCTACAGGATCTACTGAAAGAACAAGAAACTACTTTGGAGGACAACTGGAAAGGGATAAAAGAAGCACTAACTTCAACGTGTCAGGAGGTTCTTGGTCCTAAGAAGCATCATCACAAGGAATGGATCTCTATGGGAACCCTGGACAAAATTCAAAAAAGGAAGAACAAGAAACTAGCAATTAACAGCAGCCGGACACGAGCAGAGAAAGTCAAAGCACAAGCAGACTACGCAGCAGCAAACAGGGAAGTGAAGAAAAGCATTAAAGCCGACAAGCAGAACTACATGGGAGAACTAGCAACGACGGCGGAAAAAGCTGCAAGGGAAGGAAATATGAAACAACTATATGATACAACGAAGAAATTGGCAGGGAGATATAGCAAACCAGAGAGACCAGTCAAAGACAAAGAAGGAAAGACAATCACTGAGATTCAAGAACAGAGGAAAAGATGGGCAGAATACTTCGAGGAACTGCTGAATAGACCAGCCCCATTGAATCCACCGAACATCGAAGCAGCAAACACTGACCTTCCTATAGATGTCACTCCACCAACGATCAAAGAAGTCAAGATGGCCATCAGACAAATCAAAAGTGGGAAGGCGGCAGGACCTGACAATATACCAGCTGAAGCACTGAAGTCAGACATTGAAATAACTGCAAATATGCTTCACCTTCTATTCAAGAAGATTTGGGAAAAGGAACAAGTGCCAATGGACTGGAAAGAAGGATTTCTCATCAAGATACCAAAGAAAGGAGATCTGAGCCTATGTGAGAACTACAGAGGTATCAGTTTGTTATCAGTACCAGGAAAAGTTTTCAACAGAGTGCTGCTGAATCGGATGAAAGACGCAGTAGACGCCGAACTGAGGGATCATCAGGCTGGATTCCGTAAGGATCGGTCGTGCACAGACCAGATTGCGACACTACGGATCATCGCTGAACAATCAGTTGAGTGGAACTCATCACTATACGTCAACTTCATTGACTATGAGAAGGCGTTTGACAGCGTGGACAGGAGAACATTATGGAAACTTCTTCGACACTATGGAGTTCCTCAGAAGATCGTCAACATTATCCAAAACTCATACGATGGACTACAGTGCAAAGTGGTGCATGGAGGACAGCTGACAGATGCATTTCCAGTAAATACCGGAGTCAGACAAGGCTGTCTACTCTCCCCATTCCTCTTCCTTCTAGTGATTGACTGGATTATGAAGAATTCGACATCTGAAGGGAAATACGGAATACAATGGACTTCTCAGAATCAATTAGATGATTTGGACTTCGCAGATGACCTAGCCCTCCTCTCTCATACACACGACCAAATGCAGATGAAGACAGCAAATGTAGCAGCAGCCTCCGCATCGATAGGCCTCCACATTCACAAAGGAAAGAGCAAGATTCTCAAATGCAACACAGAGAACACCAACCCAATCACACTTGATGGCGAAACTCTGGAAGAGGTGGAAACATTCAAGTACCTGGGGAGCATCGTTGATAAACAAGGGGGATCGGATGCAGATGTAAAGGCGAGGATTGGCAAAGCAAGGGCAGCATTTCTACAATTGAAGAACATATGGAACTCAAAACAACTCTCAACCAATTTCAAGGTCAGAATCTTTAATACGAACGTCAAGACAGTCCTACTGTATGGAGCTGAAACGTGGAGAACTACTACGACCATCATCAGGAAGGTACAAGTATTTATAAACAGTTGTCTACGCAAAATACTCAACATCCACTGGCCGGATACTATCAGCAACAGCGTTTTATGGGAGAGGACAAACCAGCTTCCAGCTGAAGAGGAAATTAGGAAAAGACGTTGGAAGTGGATCGGACATACATTGAGGAAATCACCAATGTGCATCACGACTCAATCCCTAACTTGGAATCCTGAAGGGAAGCGGAAAAGAGGAAGGCCAAAGAACACACTACGCCGAGAAATAGAAGCCGATATGAAAAGGATGAATAGCAACTGGAAAGAACTGGAAAGGAAGGCTCAGGACAGAGTTGGATGGAGAATGCTGGTGAGCGGCCTATGCTCCTCCACAAGGGGTAACAGGCGTAAGTAAGTAAGTAAGTAAGTAAGTAACATGATTAATGAAGTCAATCGAGTTTTTAGTGGAAATTTAGCTCACTAGTAGTATTGATATTGTTGCGTTATATACGACAGATTGACTGAGGTCAAAAGTATGAACTATTGTATTTCGACTCACCAAACTAAGTACAGTACACTAGTTAACATATGAGAATGTTTATCTTCATTTCTGCACAACATTACACAGATTAATTAGTGTGAAGTTTTAGATCAACGTGATATGACTTTCTATTCACTGCTTTCTTACTCCCAGGGACTTTTTTCCTGAAAACTATACTTCAATTCAACTATTTATCATAAATCAATTAATCATTATTATTACGTATACTGATGTAATGGACCTCATTTTCTGACTGTGTATGGATTCGAATTATTACTTTTTGAAGTGTGTATACATTTTAAAGATAATTTTATAAAGCATAAAGCATTTTATATAAAAGTACATAAGATTTACCAAAACAATAAAATGTAAATGATAAGATATGTTAATGCTATATTTATAGTATGAGCCAAAACTTTGTATTGATTATCGTTACGAACGAAGACCCAAAACAGGTCATTTCGACTGTTTTCATAGATGACTAATTTATTGGAGATCAATTCATGCAAATGAAGACGATGAGTTTCTTATTTTAATCAAGGCACAATCCAAGACAAATTGGATAGGGATTTTTGTATTGGTTGTTTGAATATTTCAATTAACATTTAGGACCACAATTATTCAGTGTCTTTTGGCATATCTGCATCTTATGAGAATAGCTTCGGTATTG